ATCAAATTTTCTCTAGATAATTCAAATTCTGGATCAAATTCTTCTAGGTTACTCTTTTGTTCAGGTTTGTCTTTCAATTCTTCCCCTTGGTATTGAGTAAATGATGGAGGTGGTCTTTCTATATTTATCTTAGTTGAGGGAATATGTTTTTCTAACTACTTAGGTATTTTTTTTATTAATTTACATTGGATTTCTCAACCCAAAGTTCTTTTGAAACATATCCTCGAATTCTCTTCTAAATATTAGTTCAATAATTTTAAATTGTTCATCATTCATCTCTTTAGGGTTTATTTCAGGGTCACAAGGTAAAATCTCAGGGGGGCAACTGTTAATTGCATTAATAATCTGTCTCAGTTGGTTTTCTATACTCCTTATTGCGACCTCTTGATTTTTCAGCTCACTATTTTGACTTTCCAACTGACCCACCAATTGAATCACATCCTCTTCTAACAGCGACTACTCCTCATTATGTGGGTTGGAGTTAATCCATGAGGAAAAAAAGTTTTATATTATAATAGCCATGATTATTCGAACTACATGTCAGATTAAATTTATTATCTTCCTAAAATTGGTTTTCTCTTCCAAAATTATTATTCCTATTAAAAATCAAATGATTTTCCCAACCTGGATTGTAATAATCGGAATAAAAACTATATATCTCATGGCTAGTTTCAAAATAGTTAGGCTCAATTAATTGTCCAAATAAATTTTCCTTAATAACTAGGGGGGTCCTTGAGGATAACTTTCTATGTATTGATCTAATTTCCTCCCAATATCGGCAACCTGAGAAATTAAAATTATAAGCATATCTTCTTGAAAATTTGTCACTATCTTGGGGTTTACTCTTTCAAAACTACTAGCATTATAATCCAAATCTGAATGTTCATTATATCGTTGATCCGTCATTTCTACATTAAATTCATGAAGTCTTTTTAAATCTCTCCCAAAAGTTCTCTCCAAATCCGACTTGTAAAATTCAAGGTCTACAGCTCCTGAACTACGCATATAAATCTAAAGACTAAACTAATATGACAGATAACAAAAATATTTTTGGTATTTTGAATTTTCATTAAAATAAACACATAATAATTAAACACACTATATAATAATATTATAAATTTCAAATTAAGTCTTACAGGTTCTTACAGGTTTAACTAAAATTCTTGTAAAGTTCTTACCGAAGCTTTCCTGGCAACGACGCCAAAAATTTGATGCGCCCCTTGTGTGTGTTGTTTATCTGTGTGTTTTATGTCAATTTAAATCCCCAGTAACAGTGCCAAAAAGTTGACCCGTCCCTAAATTACGCAATAAATTAGCTTCCAAAATATTGTCAAAAACTTGACCCAATTTTAATTTAACGGTTGAAATCAAAATGTTATAAAATATATAAAATAGTTTACACACTAGTGGTTCTACGCAAACGCACATATCGCTTCAAGTAATATAGGGTTTTCTTTAGAAACTTCAGTATCGATCCCACAGAGAAGCGCAGTAAAAAATTCTTTAGGCTAATTATAGTCTACTACTATCAAGTCTTAGTTTGAAAGATGAAAACTCTTATGATAATAACATAAATAACAATATTCTAACTATAAAATTTAAAGGAAGAAAGGCAAGTTAAAATGAGTTTAATGAATGCTAAAAAATATGTAACTAAAAGAACTAAGTTTACTAAACTAATTTCTAAACTTCAAAGTTAAATTTACTAAGACTAAATAAAGTTTTGTGACGAAAAGTTCAAATTTAAGAAAGCGTCATTCTCCTTTACAAAGAGTACATGGTTAGTGGAGTAATTAAAATCATTTAAAATTATATATAAAATTGTATTGTGTCAAATAGGAGCAATCTAAGTATTTACGCTCTGTCAAGCACATAAAAAATATTGACTAATCCAGAGTTTGGTCCCTAATTATGTTGTTAGGTTGAGAGGATACCGGCTCTCACTCCATTTCTCACGTTTCTCCCTCGCCTGAGGATTAACAATCTCGCATTAGTTTCCAATCAACTGGATTAAATTGAGAATTTTAATCTGTTACCTTAAAATCTCCAATTTTACGTCTAATAAAGTATATTTCCCTATTTATTTGCACTCAACACATGGATTACATTCTCACCCATGAAATTGAATGTGACTTTTATCATGTTATAGAAAACATAGCTCTTTCGGATCATATGTTTCTCAACAAGTTTTAATTGGCCAAATCGAAAAGTAAAAGAAAATCAGAGTTCGAATCATCACAAATTATTGACATTTAAAACCGCATAAAACAAAATCCATTTTTCACAAAACCAAATCTCATTGTAGGGAGAAGAATAAAAAAGATTACTTAGAATTCATGAGAAGAATACGACAAAACACGAATTTCATATATAAAAACAAGTTTACAAAATAAAGAAAGAAAAGAACACAGTGTATTTCACTTATTTCCAAGTTTATTTCACTTCTTTCCAAGCAAATCTCTAGAAGTTCCCTTTAAGCACTTTCTCTCTTTACAATCATACTGCATTCTCTCATAGAAATTAAAGAAAAAGAAATCTCTCACATTCTATCTCCTCTTACAACCCTAGAAGAAAATTTTTTCTTCTCCAAAGCCTTTCTCTCACTCTCATGTTACACTCATGCCCGAAATTCCTCTCATTTTTAATTAAGGGTTGCCTCCTTTCAAAAAGAATTCAAAATTTTCTCCCAAATTCTCTCCAAAAACTTTTTGAATCCCAAAAGATATGTCCATTCATTTAAAAGACATATATCTTCATTAAAAAGCCTTTCAAAGTGTTTAGATGCATTTAATCACTACATGGGGAGTTTGAATCATTTGGAGCCTTCAAAATCCGCTCAAAACTCGTCCCAAACCGCCTTAACCCGTCTTATATCGTCTCTGGCGCTTCTGGCGCCAGTTCTCTGGACTTTGGCGCCTCTGGCAGCATTTTGGCACCTCAGGTGCCACCCTGCAGCAGCTCTACCATTTTGCTATGTTTTTGCTTCGTTTCAGCTCCGTTTTGCCCCATTTCAGTTGTATTTCGCTCCTAACAGGTATACCTACAAAATAAGCATGAAAATAATATTTCTTTAAAGTGTAATTTTATTCAAAAACATATGAGAAATATAAAGTAGATTAAGCATAGAAAGACATATCGAAATATGTCAAGTCAGAATTTTCTTTCTTGCTCGTTTTTATTCCAAATTGCACCATTTTTTTTTCATTTTCAATTTTCACCATTTTTATTTCATTTTCTCCAAAAGTTCATTTTTTCATTTTCACCATTTTTGTTTCATTTTCTCCAAAAGTTCATTTCTTGTGTCTGAAACCAAAAATATGCAAAATACATTCCTTTAAAGTGTAATATCATTAAAAATCATTAAAATTGATAAAAAATATATATATGAAAAAGTAGATAATTTTTAGGCGTGTCAATCTCCCACTTCATCTTAGACCAAGTAGTGATCTTATTCTCCTCTTCTTGTTATTGGAGGCACTTCAAATTACCACCACAAAGTACATTCTTAAAAGACTCCTTCCATAGTTTGGAGTCATTCAATGAATTCATTTAAAACCATAAGTTATAGATAATGTGATAGATGGTATTTGTAGTAAACCTCCCACTTCATCTTAAACCACGTATTCTTCTCTTCTTGCTATTCGAGGCACTTCAAATTACCATCACAAAGCACTCTTTTTAAATTTAATAACTAACAATTTAACTCTCTTATCTTGTGAGACATCTTTGTAAAAAACTCCTTTCATAGTTTGAAATCATTCAATGAATTCGTTTAGAATCATACGTTTGTGAAAATTCAAAAAATCAACCTGCAACCCAAAATAATAGCCTCTTCTCTCATATTTAATACCATATCATCACGTGTTGGGTTTTCATAATTGAAAGCTTCTTGTTGGAAGAGGTTAAGGTCCTCTTCTATGTCTGATAAGTCGCCATTATTACTGTAGGCAACTTCTCTAGGTTGTCTTCTTTCACATTTGACAAACCATTATTGTAGTTAAAAAATTTTCCTTCATAGATTTTCCACTGCGAGCTCTACTGTGTTCTTCCTCGGTGGCATGATGCCTCTTTCCCAACTTAGGGTTAAGGATATAGTTAGGAGGATATTTCTATGGGTAGAGAAATTAAGTTATATGGATTTTTGGTTTATAAGTGGTGCAAACTAATCCCTAAAGATTTATAATTTGGAAGACTTTGATACTAAATAACATCGTTCTTTGAATCCTGCTCGAGACTTTCTGCTTGCAAGATTTCACATACTACTTGCGCTCCCGCTCATTTGTACATGGCTCGATCTCTACTTCATCTCGCAACCCTCATACGTGTCTACTCGAGCTTGCGATGAAACTCCTACACTCACATGCCCCTCATGAATCCGTCCTCCCTCCTCCGCTCTATCTTGCATGGAACCAACTTTCGCACCATCAACATACAAACGCCGGTTTGATTAAACCGACATATTTTGGCTCAATTTCTATTTTTTAGGGGCATTTAATACATAGAACACAATTCCAATGTATTTACATATCTCAAGCCTTTCATATTTACAGACATGTAATTCAAATTCAAAAATCACATCAAAATTAGCAATAGTAAAACTTTTTAAAAGTGAAATACATAAGAATTGTGTTCTAGGTATGTAAATTTCATTTTTTTTTTAAACAAGGCATGACAATGAGGAAGGGTGATTTTTCATGAGCATCACAAGATAGTGAAAATTCAAGCCAGCTTGATAATGAATCAATTTGTCATGAGCCAATTTTGAACTGGCCTACATATGTTTAATCCTATTTTGAGCCAGCAACGAATTAGCTCAAAATCGATCGTCATCAACCATAATAACTATTAGCTTTCCATTACTAACAATTCAAGAAACAAAAAAATTTACAAGCACGATGCATTGGTTCATGACAAGCATTCAAAATAAAAATATAAAATTTATCAAACTACTGAAATAATTGTAATGCAAGTAACTAAAAGCAAACAAAACAAGCATATACCTGCTAAACATTTCTCTTTTTCCACTACCTAATGCACTTGAAACTCGACCCAAAACTCCATTCTGTTCAGGGCTTAACAAATGATTTTTTTCTCCTTCTAGGATTGGATCGCTTAATTCTTTAGGCAACAATCTCTCGCTAACTTCATCAGGGGCATCTGTAGGAACACTTGATGGAAGAACCCTTGCAGAGCAAAGTGAAAGAGCAAAGTGAAAAATCAATATTCGCCCAAACCAAATTAGTGTTTGAAAATAAAAATCATACAAAAAGTAAAACAAACAGCAGGTCATAAGAAAAAGCTACCTAACAATAAATAATCAAATGCAAGGTACTCCGCCTCTAGAAAATTACTTCATTATCTACATTCTACTGAAAGCAAACCAACGTAGTATACAAGTATATGGATAAGAACAGAAAACTGAAAAGATCAAAAGAGCAGAGTGATCAAAAAAAAAAAATTGATCTAGTAAAGAGGATTTGGATCTAGTAAAGAGGATTTGGAAAGGCGCCTAGGGTTGTGCAGTACTCGCAAAATTGATTGACATCTCACAATATAAGCTTGCATGTAACCATTCTGCAAGTAGATGGGAAATTTTTTAACCTTTAATAATCTGTTGGGCTATTAATAACATTCAATAATGAACTTTTATACACTTATCACGGTCAGGTATTTCATCTAGACATTCTGATATTGACCTCATTTTTTGTCACGTATGACTTACATGCATGTTACCGTTTGATCTGGTGTAGCCACATAGGGCCCAAGTGTAGTCACGCCAATCTTTGTCCGGCATGACCACGCTCGAAAGTATCTTGGCGTGGTCACGCCCACTTCAGGCATGACCACGCTTAAGTGTTTCTCGATGTGATCAAGCCCGAGGCTGGTGTGGTCACTTCTCGTGTCACACCAGGGATCCGAGGCCTTTTTCCATGGATCCAGCGACAAATCATCGTGTCGCTTCGCCGACAGCGATCTATGGCACCTCCAACCGCCGCAATGACCGTGACCGTCGACTCACCACCCAATCAACGGCCACGGGCGGTCTTCCTCACCTATAAATAAGCGGCCTTTCCATTGTCTCTAAACACTTACGCACTTGCACATGTTGAGTACTCAAAACAGAGGATGAAGAAAACTAGTCGGGCGAGCCTCCTCCTTCAATCAGCCTCCTTTCCGATAAGTTTCTTTTTTCTCCTCTTTCATTTAAGTTCAATTCTTTTATTTTATGCTTAAATTTAGGCTAGGGTAACCCACTCAATAGCCTTGGCTTAGGCTTGGGTTTGGATTCGACTCAGGTCGGCCCAAACCCGACCTAACCCTAACCCAACCTAGACTTAACCCTAACTCAAACCCAGCCTAATCCTAACCCAAACAGTAGTCGAGTTGAGCCCAAACCCAAACCCGACCCAACCTAACCCTACCGAGGTCGACCCAGGTTTGACCTGACCCAAACTCAGATTTAACCTAACCCAAACCCAAGTCTAACCTAACCCAAACACAGGTCTGACCTAACCCAAACCCAGGTCTAACCCCAAACCAAGTTCTAGCCCCAAACTCAGGTTTGACCTAACCCATCCCATGTCTGACCTAACCCAAACCAAGGATTAACCTAACCCAAACTCAAATCTGACGCAGATTCAACCCAAGTTCAACTCATGTCCAACCTAGATCCAACCCAGGTCAACCCAAGTCCAATCCTGATTCGTCCCAATTCCAGCCTAGGTCCAACCCAAGTCCGACCCAGGTCAACCTTGATCTAACCTAGGTCAACCCAGGTCCAACCTTAGGTCAATCCAAGTCTAACTTAAACCACCCCAAACCCAAGTCATATCATCTTTGAGCTCAATTATGAGCTCACCCGAGCTAAAAAACTAGCTCACATCAGCTTAATCATAGCCCAAGTCTAATCCAAGGCTAAATGTAAGTTGTTTGTTTTGTTTCATGTTTCATTTCATGTGTAGTCTTTAAAAGCAAAATAAAAATAACAAAAAATACTTAAAACAAAAAAAATGATGAAAAATTCTCACAAGATTATTTTCTCCACAAACATCAAAATCAAATCTTAAACAGAATTAAACTCAAAACCTAAGAAAACTTTAACAAACCTAGGGATTGAAACAAAACATAAATTAAATACTGAATCTCAAATAAAATTTAAAATACACCAAGATAAAAACAAGAAAAGAACCTAGGTAGATCTAACATGAACCTTAGGTTAACTAACTTAGACATCAAATTGAGGATCTTATACCTACCCCAGATTAGTCTTGAGTATAAAAACCTAGGTTAGTTTGATAGGTGTTCTAGTTAGTGCTAAGCACCTGGACATGCAAAACAAATAAATCTATCCCCTGAGACTAGAGAGAATACCTTATAATAATGTAGACCATGATTACTGACGAAGATATTTCAGACCGCTTTAAAACTACGAATCTTTAATGCTGTAGCGTTCGAGGGAAATTCCTGGTTATGTGGTTTGTTATAGTTGATGGATATCAATGTCCCTTGTACGACGGAAAGCCATGTACATTATAATCGGGGACGTTATTCTGAAAATCTAGGTTAGTCTACCCCTTAGAATTCCTCAAAGAGTTTAATGTGTTTTCCATTCTAATATAGAACTCCTCACCTGACTTTCTCCTTAGCTTAAGGATTTTGATCATTTCAGTCAGTCAAATCAAGTATTCCAAAGTTAACTCTTGACTTCATCCAATCAATGCAAATTCACTGTTTAATCAATCTAATACTTCATTGCTTTTGAACTTCATTTCTCGAATGGTTAGATCCCTACATTCGGGTCTTTCCCATTATGCATTGTCATTGGACTGTAAGTTTAGTTTGAGCTTAATTCTTCCAATTTAGATCCTTTACTTATGCTTGACCGCTTCAATTATGAAATTCTAACTTCTGATGATTTGACTCATTACATTAATTCAGAATTTTATTTAGGGCTCATGACTCTAGAGATGTACTTAAGGAGGGCTAGCCCTTGTAGAGAACGAGACCCCATAATTAAAATAAACTTTATCTTAGATCTGTAAGGTAAGGGACAAAATTCTGATTCTGTAGACTTATGAAGACTTCCATCAGCTGGATGTTCACGTCCATTTTTAAGGTAATACTTCTTTCTTTCAGGAGGATATGTTATGCCTCAAAATAGCATGCCCAGTCATTTAGATAGAAGTCTTCTAAAAGTTTAATGATGTGAGGCGACACACAAAAAACCGCCACCATTTGATGTCGGAGTTAACCCAAACCACATTAAGAAAAGCAAATATTATTACCTTAAAAAAATAGATGATTATAATCAATACACTTGAAAGGAGAAATACAAAACACACGACACATAATATGCATTAGAGCGGATCCAGGGTGATCGTAGTGATGATTAGGGGGCTTGGAGAGGTGATGGCAAGGTAGAGAAGGAATTTTCAGGCCGTGGATGAGGGGTGGCAGCGATTATGGGCAGTTGAAACAACAGGACAGCACGGTGCGGCAGTCCAAACAACAGTAGGTTGTTGTTTGGGGCGACTAGACAGTAGGAAAATAGCAAAGGGATGGTATTGCATGCTGCAGTAGCGAAGGTGGAGGGTTGGGACTGCAAATGCAGCAAGGACAAGGGAGGAGAAGCGGTGGAGCAGCTCGAACTACAGAAAATAGCAATCGAGAAGTTGTTGCGGGCGGCTATAGCGAGGTGCGGTGGAAAGGAGCAATGTGGAAGATGTGAAAAGGAATAGGAGGAAAATAATCATCACCTCACGAGAGATACAGCCAAAGCACAACTCAATCCCTCGAATACAGCCCTCTACGAGGAAGAAGAAGGCCGGCAACTGTCCAGACAGAAATCTGTAATAAAAGTCACCAAAACCGCCTAATACAAATTTAAGTACACACATATATATAACGAAAGGCTAAAAAAAGAGGATAATAGGAAAGAAATAATAAGAAAGGAAAACGAGGCTATTTTGACAGCCCAACTTCCGTCTCCCTCTATTTGTTTTCCCACGATACAGTAGCAACTACAGAACCGCGAGAAAACTATGGGAAAAAGCTCCTGTGTCAACCTCCCAAAGGTTGGGGAGCTTCAACTTCATTCGTCGAAGCTTTTGGCTCCTCATAGCACAAAGTTAAGTCTAACAAGTTGATGGTAGAAGAGATATTATAGTCACCTGATAGGTCAAATAGGCATTGTTGCTCCAAAGAACATTCTGGTAGAATATATATACATTCATTTTTGGCTCATAGAGCTGGCATTATAGATAGACTAACGAAATATGTTGAATATGTGATATTTTTATGGCACATTTCCTCATATTTTACATCTTTTCAACTAATATTATGCTTGAGAATTGCATTTTTTACTTAGTGTGTAGGAGACAAAATAGACGTGAAAATTGAGAGAAATAGAGAGATAAACACCACATTAATGGAGTTTGAAGTTCAACGTACCCGCACCCAGGCCTGGCTCGGCCGCTTTAAGAACCTGCGCAGCCGCATTTTATATATTGCATTCGCGGTTGCCTTAAAGCCCGTGTGTCGTATCCAGCGTGCCCGCACGCATTCCTCTGCACAAGACACGCCGCATCCGTGTCGTCTTAGAGGCGCACCCGCTCCCAGCCCGCTGAAACTTAATTGGCAAGAATTTCATGGCCTTTGCTGAGCCCTGTCTATATATTTACTCATGAAGCCAAATTTAAGGTACCTTGGGCGGCTGAAGGCTATAAGAAAGGTGAGGTTTTGATTAGATAGAGTTCTCCCCTTAGGTTTTTCTCCTTCCTTTGAATTGAAACCTCGAGGAGTGATTTTTTCTACTTGTGAGTTCTTGAGAGATTTATTGTATGACAAGGAGAGGTGCTGCTTTTGTGGAGAAAACAAGTCCTTGTAGGTATTACTTTCGTTTATCTCTAGAAATAAAGATATGCATAGATTTTGTGTCTGTGATTTTTCTCAACTGTGTAGCTAACTTCTTTTTTGTGTCTTTGTGATGTGAGAGTAGTGGTTTTCATTGTGATTTTCCGAGATGCTTTTCCCGTAACATTTTCTTATGTTTTTATGATTGTTGTTGTTGGTGAACCTAAGAACTTAATTTACTCTAGTCTAGCCAACTAGGACGTTAAAATAATTCATGGAGCTACGACTTCTAACTGTCCAAACGAAAGGTTAATCACATAATTCTGAGAGA